TAAGTAACTATTTGCAGTTTGGTTCGAGTGGTTATGGGTAGTCATGCTCTCTTAAAAATCTCTTCGGCGGTGTCGTGTGAGGCGGGTCGTTGCGTTCCCTAAAATATGGTTGAGCGAAGCGATGGCTGGTTCATGCGTCATGCTCGTGAACGGGTGCTGCCAGCGGAGATGAGTCTGCTCTATACTACTTTATTATTGTAATGATAATTATTATTAAATTTAGATTGTATTTTACATTACACAACTTGTATTTATACTGTATGACACAGCAATCAATATGTAAGTGAACATTTATTATTTATCTGATAAAGATTTAATGGCGGTGTGGATTCTGGTATGGTTTTCTAGACCTGAACTTGGTTTTGCAGCGGTGTATCCTTGTCATTCTTTATACAGACTGAAAAGGGGGGACTGATGTTGGATTTGGTTTTGGGTTGGGAGAGTAGTGCCAGAATCGACAACAGTGTATGGGTAATCAATCACATGCATGTGTCCTGCCGTTATGTTTATAATTTGTTATAATAATGTACTCTGGTACTTATATATTTTTTTTTCTATGTTTGTAACATAGTATCCATTTGTGGTTATGAGTAGTCATGCTCTCTTAAAAATCTCTTCGGTGGTGTCATGTGAGGCGGGTCGTTGCGTTCCCTAAAAAATGGTTGAGCGAAGCGATGGCTGGTTCATGCGTCATGCTCGTGAACGGGTGCTGCCAGCGGAGATGAGTCTGCTCTTGCTTCATTGGATACTATTAACCGTTGTACTAAACTTTAATCGTTCATTTTTTTTTGCCTAAACAGCAGGACACGGCATTCCTAAACTTTGTTAAACTAGTTTTTTATATAGTCATAATTTTTATTATATTAGCATTTGTAATGGAAAGTGACTTTATGAGTTACCTCATATTGAAGTCATTTTTCAATTTGACGACTCTGTATACAATACAGGGAGAAAAAAACAGCCCTTGCTGAGTTTCTTGCCGGTTCTTCTCAGTACAAGGTCTCCCGCCGTAGATTTGCGAACCGATGGCGTAGCTTTTCGACATTCACAAGTGCTTGTAACAGCCTAGACTGAATAAACGATATTGAATGAATTATCACTTAAGGATATGAAAAATAGATAGTAGCCGATTCTCCGACCCACAGAATATGCATATAAAATTTCATAAAAATCGGTCAGGCCGTTTCGGAGGAGTATGGTAACTAACATTGTGACACGAGAAATTTATATATTAGATAAATAATAATTGTTTTTGTTTGCTTCCCTCAAACCCTATAAAACTTTATTATGTAGCTATTAAGCAAATAAAGATACTGTCCACAAGGACACTGCCCAGGATGAATGAATGAATGAATGAATGATCACTTTATTGTACACCATGATATTTTAAATTACAATTAATTAAAACTATTACATAATAGTACAAACGGCGGCCTTATCGCTTAGAAGCAATTTCTTCCAGGCAACCGTATGTTAACTGGACTGTTACATAAAGAGTGGGAAGTAGATGGTGTCATTCAAAGTGCAACTACCATTACTTATAAATAATTATGTACAACAAAAAATAAAATAAAATACAAATACATAAACATAATACATCTATTTATAAAGACACTAACACTTCAATCATACTTTGGATGATGTGACGACCTGCTAAAATGTCAAGTAATGTTCTTTTAACATTCTTTTAAAACAAGCTAATGTTTTAGCACCTCTGATTGCTTCTGGCAAGGCATTCCACAAACGAGCAGCCTGAACTACAAATGACTTGTCCATAAAGGATGCCGACCGATCCATCATAAAATTTAATACTTAGAAGGCCGTAAATTCTACTACACTCGAGTTTATTGTGTTTCGTCACTGTTTCGTAAAAGGTGCAAATAAAAGTACTTGTAATAATCATAATATTGATAGGGAGTCGTCAGTAGCATAGCTGATATGTTTTCAAGATAAACACAGAATCTCGACAAGTGTGGACATTAACTTCGTAGATATTGTAATTTAAATAAATATACTCGAAATTATTATTAATACTTTGTTTGTGTTTAGTTTCTAGTTGAAAAACTAGGTTTGGTAATTGGAGTGAGAAATGACTTCAGACGATGAAAATAACTTGAAAAAACCTAGTAAGTATTTATCGTTAAACGTTCATTAACCTATTGGCGATGCTCAATTATTTTCGACCTAATTAAATTAATAATATATTTAATTATTATAGCTATTAACGGGATTGTTACCATGTACCTTGTTTTTTATGAGCGATCAGCTATCGCGGAACATTTAATCGATTCGGGTCCGAATCACTGGATTGAGCTCCATAATCCACAAATCATCTCGACAGAACGCCACTACATACCAAGATTGGTCAGGGAAGCGATTGAAATAACCAAACACAAAAATTTCAATCGTGAGGATGGGTTTAAATTGTCAAGTGTCTGGAATCCAGTGGTTCGTATGTGCAAAAACCGTAAAAATCAAAAAAGTGTCGTTCCGCGACCGGATACTGTGAGTATTGTGTGTCGGGAACAGGTGCGAGTGAATAGTGAGAATGTGACCAATGGTAGGGGTATCGAGCGCAGTAAAAGACGACGTCGGAGGGTAGACCGATATGTCTGCCAATAACATCTACCCGCAATTACTTCAGTTACTCCGTGATCATGGCGCTTGCAACAGCGCCGAAATATCGGAGACTCATAAAAACAAGGTACATGGTAACAATCCCGTTAATAGCTATAATGTTAGTGACCATGAAAGTTTAAAACAATATATATTTAATTATTTATTTGCTCTGCAAGTTTATAAAAGCAACACGTCCTTTTATAATCCAATCACAAATATGTGTCGTTAATACGATAACCTGCATAGGGATCATTCTTCCTTGGACATTTTTTGTAGTCGGCTTCTTGAATTTCGGAAAGAAATCTAACGATTAATACTTCGTTAAAAAAGAGAACATTGGTTAATTTTTACTTTTATTTAAGTGTTTTTTTTTTGTTGTTTAATTGTTGAAATTCGATTTATATATTTTTCTTTAGTATAAACTTCAGCCCATAAAATTTATCATGTTATGCCCACATATTTAGAGTTACAGTTTGGTTTTATATTATTGTAATTACTTTGTTTTTTTTTAAATATAATTGTAAATTGTTTTGTAAGCTAATAATAAATAAAAATAAAAAAAAAACATTTTTAGTTAACAATTAATATTGTTCTCTTTTATGTTATGTTATTGTATTCTTTTAAATTTCAAACTAAAATTCCATACGTGATTAGACTAAATGATCTAACGGCATACGTACACTTTAGCAATAAATTTAAGAAAATATCAAGGATTTTTTCCCACAAATGAATTTAAGAAAATATTAAAGACGCTTTCCTGCCACAAATATCAATTTCTACGGGGTACTCTACTAGATAACTCTACAGACCCCTTGAGATATTTAATGCAGGGCTGTAACCATAGTAGTATTTAAGATAATCTCAATCAATCACATTGAGTAAATGTCGATAAGGCAGGGTAATGGTATTTTAAGGTTCGACATTGCCCCATAGTGACCCACCCCATAACCAGACGCTGATTTAATGCTGTGGGAGACACACACAAGTAGGTGCTGTGTAACAGAACAATCCATAGTTGATATAAGTTACAAAGTTTCTATGTATCTTGTATTCCATATATTTATAGTAGGACTAGCCGTGCCCCGCGGTTTCACCCGCGTTTGTCTCGTTTCCGTGGAAATACCGAGATAAAATATGTAGGTACCAACTCTTAACATCTTACACACGTGATAACTTTTAAACGAAATATCCGATTGTGATGAAACAAAAAAAAATTTACTACTACATAAATACTTTTGATAACATAATGCTTAATTTCGATAAAGATTAATATTACGATACATATTTAACGTAGTTTTTTTTTCTTCAGAAGATTTAATAATTATTTTGAACACAAAATCGGTTATTTTGATTAAACCATGATAGCTAGATTTATGTTCTTGCGGACTTTTTTGTAGGTCTTAATAGGATCTACAAACCCGTAGTACATCATTTTGTTCTATTGTCAATAGTTTTTGCAGCGCACGCAAAAATAGGTTTTCGATTTTACACCTTGTGTTACAAAATAGCAATTTTATTACGGATCCCTAATTCTGAAAAAAAAAAATATAGCCTATAGCCTTCCTCGATAAATGGACTACCCAACACTGAAAGAATCATTCAAATCGGATCAGTAGTTCCAGAGATTAGCGCGTTCAAACAAACAAACAAACTCTGCAGCTTTATAATATTAAGTATAGATTAGGTTTGGCTTAGGCTAGAAGCATTTCTTTAATCTGTAACCCTTTATTAATAAACAAGGAATAAGTTTAGACTAGTTACACCATGTTTTGCTCATGTCACTCAAATGCCATTTGTCATTCAATAGACAGAGAAAAACATGGAATAACAAATCCAAGCCTATTCTTCATTTATTAATAAGCGGGTTTATGTGTAAAAGACAATAACTTGGTATGGGACACTATGGAGATTCGTTAACAACACCGTCGTTAGCGATGGGTTGGGTTCGTACACACTATGCTCGTGAACAAACAAGCCCGGGTAGAAACCGTGCCTAGACCCGGTGGGAAACCAGTCGGTAACAAGCTTGTCGGTAACAGAGATGATTTGGATAGGTGAAACGATGAGAAGGTGACTAAACACCTGGAGCCTCTTCAATGAAGATTTGACGTGGCGTCACTAAGCGCGTTCTATCGTCTCTACCGCGGCGAGTGTTGTGGGAAGTTATTCTCTCTTATTCCACCTTCCCCTTTCCTTCAAGGGACCACGGCCGCGCTGGTCTACGTTGTCACCGTCTAACTGTAGCCACATTCCAACGCAAAGAAAGAAATTTGGTGACTCATTTCTTTGTCGCTCTATCCGTAAATGGGATGCTCTGCCCGCTCTTGAGTTCCCTCCTTCTTACAACCTGGGATCCTTCAAAATAGGCGTGAAGAAGCAAAATGCAGGCCGCCAGGGTGAAGATGCCTGGTGTGGCAGGTAGAACTGCTGTACCAGCTAACTTCACGCCTGGACTTCACCATCACTTAATACCAGGTGGGGTGGAGTCATTTGTCGGACATATAAATTAAAAAATAAATAAAACACCCAAAATACCTCGCCAAAATCGGAGTAAAGGCATGCCTAGGACCTTACAGCATGAAATTTGTTAATTTTTCCAGAAGCATGGTTGGGTGTGCGCCACTTGCAAGCGCTGATGCTGTTCCTGGCTATGGTTTTTGCGTTTGGGATGCGCGTCAACATGAGTATGGCTATTGTCGCGATGACTGACCCTGATGACGAAAATGTAAGTTTAAGTACTTTTCTAAGCAAGCATAAGCTCTGGCTGATGGTAAGCGCTTACTCATACCCATAGACGCTTAAATATATACCTGGCATTTCATCCAGCATCAAGGCTCGATAAAATGATAAGTCCCTACCCAGTAAAACCAGACAATATTCCTCCGGCTCCTCTTCCGAGGAGCCTATGAAATGCGAGCCTGACTCCCACAGGTCAGACCCGTCAGCTTTCGCAGATGCCTATAGACGCTTGTGATACGCGGTAAGAAATATATTCAGCAACTGAGGGCACTTCAGATATACTTCACTACAAATAAGCATTATTTGGCTGTAATATTCAAAGAGAAATCCTCCCAAGCTAGAGAAATATTTAAGGCCAACCAGGTTTTCCTTGCTTTCATACTCACATACCCCAATGCCGTTTCATGATATCTACATAAACCAGTAATTTGTTTCCATACGCTTGTCGTAATATTGACTTTTAAGGCTTTCCTTATCTGCATTAAATTGAAGCATTTATGAATATCACTAGATTAAATATGAGATTAGGATAAGTACTCACATGGTACAGATTTGATTATGCGTCTTAGGAAGACCTCGCGGACGATTGCGCTAAATACGATATCTTTTTGTCAGAATTATATTCTTGCAATAAGTAAAATTTTTAGATCTTAATGGCATTGTAGATAAACGTTTCTTGTAAACAGATCAATAGATGTACGCTTGGGCGGAGAGAATGTTCGTTACCGTGGCTCCTAGTAATAATTGATACTCTTTGGGTATAGAATGACAAAAAGACGTTCTCCATTTAGCTTCCGTCTTGGTAAGTAACTTCCACCTTACAGAAGATCACAGTAAAATAATACTTACTTTTGGTGGTATTACTCGTACGTTTCTATTGGTGAGTATGGTTCCAGGTGTCCGCGGGGTTGGGGATTAGGCCAGGGTAGGCAATGTTGTTGTCCTTTGAGATATCGGCGCCTGTACTGTAACTGTAGGGGGGGGATGTCCGAGTAGCCTTGGCCCCTCGGACCCCCCACGAATGCTGTCGCCCGCATTTCCCCCCTCTTCTCCCAGGAGAAGACACCAGGAGATGTGGGCGACCGGGAGAGGGGAGAGGGATGGAAAATATTATGCTTCCCCTCCCGTTCCCCCCTCCCAGGAACGGCGGCCCTTCTTGTAGTTTTGTCCTACAAGGGGGGCGGCGGAGGGTACGCTCAAGCAGTGTTGAAGGTGTTTGCAGGACTTATTTAGCGAATATTATGCTGTAAAGCGCCCGTAAGAGTTGCGGGGTCCTCGGTGGGTAGCCACTAGGGGTTCCGTAAGACTTGCGCGAGCCAGGTGTGAGGTCCGTTCGGCGGTGTGCCTCTTAAAGGCGCCGTCGTCTGTAAATAGTATTTTTTGCCTGCGTATAAAAAAAAGGTATCCGCAGGATTGGGGATTAGGCCAGGGTAGGCAATGGTGCGCGTGATATTTTAGGTATCGCAAGCGTCTATAGGCTGAGGTAGCCGCTTACCATCAGACGGGTTATACGCTCCTTTCCCACCTTTTTAACATAAAACATGTTCTCAATTTTCGTACTATAGTCGTTCGAGTGGAGCAGTCAGCGGCAGGGCGTCATCCTGTCCTCCTTCTTCTGGGGCTACGTGATCCTGCAGATCCCGGGCGGCGAGCTGGCGGCCAGGGTCGGCAGCAAGCTCCTCTTCACCATCTGTGTCGGCGTCAATTCTGCAATATCTCTACTGATTCCTATAAGTGCTGGATTTGTAAGCATTACATTAGAAGGGAATAGTGTAACATAAGAATTATTTCTGCCCATTTCTTATTTGTCTATGGTATGTCTTGACGTGGCTTTATTAGTTTCATATGCCGCTATCTTAAGCAACTGTCATCAAACGTCTAATGGCTGGGTATAATATAGAGATATTGCTTTTGTTGCACTGTTCCTTAATCTTACCCTTAATTTATGTCACACAACAAAGCCATTTTCCTATTCCTTATGATTGACTTAACCTACGATCATTAGTGATGGGGTGAAAGTTTAATGCCTTATCTGTTACATTCATAGTTATTATATAGTGAAAATGAAACTACGTGAACTTCCACAAGATCCTTCGGTTATTAATTGTGCATCATAGTGCATAATAGTAGGATATCAGTAAATACGTGTGTGATTAATTGTGTGTGTGTTTACTCCTTTATCCATTTCTTTTCCGGTGTGGCGGCGACATCTATATGCCCCACAGATATACAACGGATGTAGGAAATCATTACTCACCATCTTCAAGAGATGGCGTTACCTGTACTGCGATCAATATTAGTACGGAAGATACATCGTATACATGAATACATCGTATACATGAATACATCGTATATATGAAGAGTTAGCCTCCGAATTTCATTTGCACGATGTAGGCTTCCATACTAATATTGACCGCAGTGCAGGTAACGCCATCTCTTGAGGATGGTGAGTAATGATTTCCTACATGCGTTGTATATCTGTGGAGCATATGGATGTCGCCGCCACACCGGCAGCATGAGTACGACAATTTTTAATCACTCCTCAAAATTTTCATAATGGATTTTATAAAAACTAGTTATATACAGCTCTATATCATATCGCGGTGCTCATGCGTAGGCAGGCTTAAGGAAGTCACATGAACATACAACTTCAATGTACAAATGTAGTTTTTCGTATTCTTTTCAGGGTGGATGGCAATGGGTGTGCGCTTGCCGAGTGTTACAAGGATTGACACAAGGATTTCTTTATCCATCGATGCATAATATAATCGGAAAATGGATACCACTAGAAGAAAAGAGCAGCTTAGGAACATTTATTTACGCTGGTGAATAAAATCCCTTTAATTTTAGATAAGCCGAGAAATTTTATTGTCTGTAGGGTCAACATTATACTTTTCTTTTCATTCTCGAAGCTAAGGGATGGTTAATATTTACTCTTGTTGTTATTTAGAATTATTACACAAACTTTTTTTTTATAAATAAAATTCATCATCAGCCTATTAATGTCCCTACTGCTGGCCTTCCCTATGGATGGAGTTGGGAGATTGGGCCATAACCCACCACGCGGGCCCAGTGAGGATTGGTGGGTGCTAAGACTGTAGCCGGGACCAACGGCCTATCGTCTTTCCGAAGCACGGAGGAATTTTGAGATAGAAGTTTTTTGGTCACCCATCCAATGACCGACCACTGCGAAAGTTGCCTAACTTCAACGATCGCAGCTAACCACCTGCGCCAACAAGCTCCTCAAGCTACTGTGCACTTGCAGTCTATTTTATCTATTTTTGTATGATACTGTGGGAAGGCCAAAGGGGAAGATCTTCCTCCGAGCTGGGTGATGGTAGGTCGGGGGCCGCGGCCCAACTGATGTTGGTCGGGCATCGTATATATGGAGAGTTAGCTTCCGAATTTCATTTGCGCGATGTAGGCTTCCATACTATTATGATCGCAGTGCAGGTAACGCCATCTCTTGAGGATGGTGAGTAATGATTTCCTCCATCCGTTGTATATATGTGGGGCATATAGATGTCGCCTCCACAATACCAACGTGTGAGAAAAAGACTGAATGACAAAGATGTTCATATAGCAGACTCGAAGCCTCCGATTCCTCCCACACAGACCACAAACACCAAATGAAATGAAATGAAATGAAAAGTCATTTATTCAGTCTAGGCTGTTACAAGCACTTGTGAAGGTCAAGAAGCTACGCCATCGGTTCGCAAAACTACGGCGGGAGACCTTGTACTGAGAAGAACCGGCAAGAAACTCAGCAAGGGCTGCTTTTTTCTCCCTGTATTGATATATACAGAGTCGTCAAGTTGAAAAATGACTTCAGACATACTTCTGAAGTCACCTTCCATTACATTATTTCGGATATAGATATTGTTACAATAAATTTTATATTTAGTATATAGAAAGCGGCATTAGGTAGGTACCATATTACTGTTACAAAAACTGACTCATACCCATCAAATAACAAATTACAAGAAACACTATGTCCATGCATTACGATCATTTAGATAATCATTAACTTTATAATAGCCCTTATTCATAAGAGTATTCTTGATCTGAGATTTAAATTTGGTTAGTAGAAGCTCAATCAGATCTTGGGGAACTTTTTTAAACATTGGAATACTACATCCCAGAAATTAACCTCTTGATTTTTGGAGTCTGAAACATGGACCGGCAAGCTTGTTCTTAAATCTCGTGTTAAAGTTATGGGTTTGGCTTTTTTTTGCAAATGCGTCATAGTTTTTAACCTACCTTGTGTTTGTCGTGTCGACTTCAATTTAATAAAGTCACCACCTGGGTTATTTTATGTTTTATTTTCTAATCCAGTCTTCACGGGGGAAAACTCTATATATTAGATAGATAAAATGTTTCAGGGGCCCACCTTGGAACAGCATTACAACTGTTAGCGTCGGGATACATAGCCCAGTACTGGGGTTGGCCTGCCATCTTCTACGTAAATGGTGCTTTAGGAGTAGTATGGACCGTCTTCTACGTTTTCATCGGGTCAGCGTCTCCGAAGACCTCACGCATCATCAGCGAAGAAGAGAAGCTTTATATCGAGACCTCACTAGGGCATGTGGGTGAACAAAAGGTAAACAAACAATTATTATTTGTATAATGTAAGCCTTGTACGATGAAAGCCTTATATTTATATTAAGATCTACAATCTGCATTTATTCTGAGCAATATTGCTCTCGAAACCTCCTAGTTAAACCCTTCAGAAATCTACGTAGTATCATCATGTTTCCTTTTTTGGCTAAAATTAACGTTATTTTAACTGGTAGTAATAGCTCTACTAGAGCAAGAAGGTGTATCTGCGAAATAGCACTCTCCTGACATTTTTTCTAAACAATGACAAACTCACGCCTTGCTTGTTGGTTATGTGCTGAACTAATGACAGATTAACCATTTTTTTTATATATAGATCCGGCAAATGACTCCACCCCACCTGATGTTAAGTGAAGGTGAAGTCCAGACGCGAAGATAGCTGATACAGCAGTTCTACCTGCCACGCCAGCCATCCTCACCCTGCCGACCTGCATGTTGCTTCTTTACGCCTCTTTTAAAGGATCCTAGGTTGTAAGAGGGAGGGAACACGTGAGCGGGCAGAGCATTCCATTTACGGATAGTGCGACAAAGAAATGAGTCACGAAATTTCTTTGTACGCGTTGGAATTGTGGCCGCAGTTAGACGGTGACAACGTAGGCCAGCGCGCGTGGTTCTCTGAAGGAAAGGAGAAGGTGGGATAAGAGAGAATAACTCCTCAGAACACTCGCCGTGGTACAGTCGATAGAACGCGCTTAGTGACGCCACGTCACGGCGTAATTGAAGAGGCTCAAGGTGTTTAGTCACCTCCTCATCGCTTATGATGCGGGTCATTATTATTTACTATCAATAAAAAAAACCTTTTTTTATTTATTCCTTTTTAAAACTAAATACCAACTAATAATAGCTTCTGAACATCTCTTCAGATCGTAAATAACTTGAGAATTCGTTAACAAATGTTGTACGTTTTTCTGGATTTTGTAATGTGGGCAATGACGGCCTTTCTTTGTTTCAAAGAAACTGACAACGCCATGGAAGTCGATCTGGACGTCTGGACCTTTCATCGCTCTGATCATCGCACACTGTGGCCAGAACTGGGGCTTCTACACGCTGCTGACGGAGATGCCCTCCTACATGAATCAAGTGCTGGGGGTGGATATTAAGGCGGTGAGTGCAGTCTCCTCTGGAGACACTTAAAGCGTTTTTGTGTGTAGATAGGTAGGTAATTCGCTTGTACTTATCTGCGGTGCAGTCGGGAGGCGGTGTAAACAATAAGTCCAGCACTCAACAGTAAACAGTTTATTTGCACAAGCACAGAATAGAAGGAGTACAGAGCACAGTCAGTGATAAACAAGCACAGAGGAAGAAAGGAAAAGCACAGTGAAAGCAAACGTAAACAATAACAATAATACGGTTATGAGTTAGCAAGCGCGGAGCAATTGATCGTGCGTACGGTACAGAGTATAGGTTCCGACTTTCATTTGCGCGATGTAGGCTTCCATACTGTTATTGATCGCAGTGCAGGTAACGCCATCTCTTGAGGATGGTGAGTAATGATTTCCTCCATCCGTTGTCTATATGTGGGGCATATAGATGTCGCCGCCACACACTCAGGATATAAATGATCCATCACCTATTACTAAACGTATTCGTGATTCTGGTGAATGTGCTCCCAAAGTTTTGTCAGACTGGCGTTTTATTTTTTAGACGTGTATTTATCTAATAATATTACAGGAGGACAGAATTAAGTTTCCATCTCTAAATAGCAAGATGAAATTTTATAGTGAATTAGTTTTTTCAATTAAATAAAATAAATAATAAATAAATAAATATTTGCAACACACACACCAATTAGCCTAGCCCCAAAGTAAGCACTATAAGGCTTGTATTATGGGATACTAGGGTAACGGATAGAATACATATCAGTATATGTATTCATATGTACAGTTACATATATAAGTATATTTATATAGAAATACATATTAAACACCCATGACTGGAGTACAAATGCACGTATTCATCACACAAACATCTGTCCCCAGCGGGATTCGAACCCGGGGACCTCTCGAGTCGGCGACACCATGAAACCCGGCGTACAAACCACTCGGCCACGGAGGTCGTCTTAAGTCGTCTAATTAAGTATATCAACATCTCTGCCACATGACACATCACTTTTAACTTGTTTTCGCATTTTCAGAACGGTGTTATGTCTGCACTGCCATACTTAGCTATGTACCTGATGGGCTTTCCTCTGGGTTTCGCTGCCGACTATGTTTTAAAGAAGAAATGGCTGAGCATCACGGCATGTAGAAAAATATCGAATTCCATAGGTAAGCTGTTATTTCAATAGTGTAAGTCACGTGGCTACAGTACACTAATGCTAGTTTTGTCATTAGGAAAATTTGGCTCCTAATAACTTAATTGTTCAATATCTGTAATGTCATTGGTTATTTTAAGATATAGGTACTCGAAGACGACGACTCTTCAGATAAGAATTCGTTTAGGTTTACTACTAAATCTTCGATTTTATTTTAGTCTCACTATTTTATCTATTTTATTTTCTATAATAACTTGTTCATGTTTAAAGTGGTACCGATTTACTTCTGCCCGTTTAGTAATAAAATAAGTACAGTCCAAATACACGTTCTTCGTCCCCAGCGCTTATCTCAAATTGTCTCAGAAGCATTATGTTAACATTTATTTATTTGTGTATTATTAAAGGAATGACATAAACTTGACTATTGTGCGAGACTTTCATCTTCTAATAGCGGCCCGCCCTCGCTTCGCTTCGGTGTAGAGCTGAAGTGTAGACTACAGTTTTTGTTCTCAGGCTTGTATTATACACAATGACATTCATCTATTATTCTTCTTATACCTGCATGCAAAGTCTCAGCCCGATCGGTTTAAATTTGACAATCTTTCATACAAACTTTCATTCCCTATTTTAACTCCTTGGGGGTAGAATTGATCAAAATTCTTAGCGGATGTCTACGTCATAACATCTACCTGCATGCCAAATTTCAGCCCGATCCGTCCAGTGGTTTGGGCTGTGTGTTGATAGATCACTATGTCAGTCAGTCCTTTGAGTTTTATATATATAGATAGGTTCAATTGTAAGATTCCTCGTTTCTCAGGTCAATGGGGTCCAGCTCTTGCTCTCATTGGGCTATCGTATGCGCCCGCTGACACAACTATAGCAGTGGCCATTTTGACTATAGTTGTCGGCCTAAATGCTGGACATTATACAGGATACATGGTAAAGCATTATTATTCTCATAAACTCACGTTTAATAATTGTTTATTGATTGCAGTTTTACATGTACATAATATAAATTATTATTTATTTGTATTTAAAATACACATAAGTTTAATTTTATAAGTATACTTTATGATGAGTTAAAATTTTAATAAAATTCTTAAATATCAACCAATTCTTAACTTAACTTATGTTTGTCCTACCGAATAGGCTGAGCGTTCCGAAAAGTGGTGTGAGAAAGACGAAGCTCGGCAGCCCACACTTCGTTATATATTGGCTGTTTTTTAGGGTTCCGTACCTCAAAAGTAAAAAACGGAACTCTTCAAGTCAAGACCCTTTATCGTATCGACAAGTGATTAAAATTTAACCCATCTACGGTCCCTTGAAGATGTGAAAGAATCAAACTTCTAAGTTAACGAAAAAATTATACAGCCATTTATGTTGCGTACCCACAATTTTTTACGGAACCCATGGTGGCGAGTCCGCCTTACACTTGTCTAGTTTCTCTCTGATTGGAGAGAATTGTCATTCTCATTTAATCACTATGCCTAGCGTTCTACCTACCATAGTTGGCATTACAATTTTGTATGTTTGGCCAACAGTTAATCCACATCAACATGTGGTCCAACTTCACCGTGCCCCTCATAGCCATCACTAACATCATCTCCAACGTTGTCTCTCAGTTTTCATACAAATGTTGAATGTTCTTCCAACAGTTGGTCCATATCGACATGTCGCCGAACTTCGCCGGCCCCCTGATGGGCATCACCAACTGTATCGCCAACGTTGTGTCCATGATCGCGCCCCTCACGGCTGGACTTATTTTAACCGATCAGGTTAGTAGTTTCACGATCGGGTATATCCATCAAAAATAATTGATTTAAGAGACTTATTAAAATACAAAAGTGCTTAGAAATCAACGCAACGCATACGTGATTGCCGTCGAAGTAAAAACTTGAGTAAATTTTCCTATATCGTCAATTTATACGGTGGCAGTCAGAAAATGTTTACCAGTTTTGAACTTAGATTCTATGTCACACTTTTTCACTAAAGTCTAAAATGCCATATTAAGTAACTTATTACCTTTCAAAAGTTGTTATGGAATATGACGCATTGAGAATAACAAAAAGAATCATATCGACGCTTGAAAGGAAATATTGACTAAGCGACATTAAGCTAACTTTACAGGAGAGGAGTTTAAAGTTAGGATTTTCAGAAAAAAAATCGTATAAATTCTTGTTATCATCCCACAGACGCAATTTTGACTGATTCAGAAATCTTATTTTATGGTCTACATCGAAGCTTAAACAACAATTCAAGAACTTTCTTGGTTCAAAAGTTAAGTGTCGCTTAGAAAATTTTACCTAAAAATGGAGACGGGGAAAATGTACTAAACGACAAGCATTGGTCTAGAAATGTAAAGTCAAAATGTAATATAGAGAAGTTATAAATAATGATATCAGAGCAAAAGTTACCTTACCAAAATCAAAAGGGTTTTGAAATGGAGGCAAAATTGACTAAACTGTTTTTTATTTATTGTTGTTTCTCAGCAAATTTTACTTAGTAACACTTATCATCGAAATTAGGATCATAAAATATTAACAGAAATATAAATAAAAATGCTGTTATAATCAGTTTTACTATATTTAGTAGGAAAATTTCTTAGTTTCTATTAGTTCTTAATAAAATCATCTTTAAGACTTAGGCCCGTATTACAGAATGACAAATAAGTGTTGATCTTTACTTGATTACAGTTAGAAAGAGATGTCGCTATGCGTTATATATAGCGACATCCCTTTCCAAAAAAACTATGCTCAAAAATAGATCAATCACTGAGAATCTTTCTATAATACGGGCTTTAGAGTCCCTGTTCATAATTAACATAATTGCACATTATTCTTTAGGACAACTTAAAAAGAAAATTAAATGTTTCATAGCCACTCAAAATGCTTTTTAGGACATTGAACTTTTTTCACAATCATAATAATGTGTGCGAACACCATTGTAACAACAAATTAACGTCTATATGTTAATAAAATCACAGTCAAAAATTAATACTTATTAACAGGTATGTAAAAATATTTAGCCTGTGAAGCTGAAACAAAATATACTTCTAAAAAAATCGAACTTAGATGAAAAATAATAATAAAGGCAAATAATGTTCAAGATTCTTTACTCGAATCAGATGTTGAAAATGAAAAAAAAATCTAAATATCCACAAACTCGGTATCTTCAACATCTGATTCAAGTAAAGAATCTTGGACATTATTTGCCTTTGGCATAATCGAGTACTCTTGATGAAATTGAGCGGGTATTACTTTATCTTTGCAGAGTTTAATTAGATCGTCGTGTTTAGCTTTTGATATCGACAACTGTGATCGGTAGCAAGACATAAGTGGACCCTTAGTTTTGGATTGAACTTCAATGTCAAAAGAGCTTGCAGAAATATTCATTGAATTTTTTATGGAAATTGTCAAGGGCCTATTTTTCTTGAATGTCACGATACGAACTTTACTAATTTTACCAGTCAAATTCCCTTTAAAGTATTTGTCGCCAATAATATCCCATTTAAAAAAGTTTTTGAAAGTCAATTGTTCAACGTCATATGGAAAGGGCTCTTTTCGAGCTGTAGTAAATATCGTGTACCATTGCGATGGTGCATAAATCATAGTGTTCTTCAGATTTTTTTCTATAACCGCGTGTACACTATCTACGGGCATATATGTGTGCCCTGTTAGTAAGTAGTTGATTTGTATTGTCTGAAGATTTTTGCATTCTTGCATGGTAGAATGTATCATTGCTAAGACAGTGCGGTTCCTATTCTGACCAGGGCAACAGTCACAGTATAGAAGAAGGTGTTTGATGTTTCCTCTTTCATCTACAGATTTTATGTAACTGTGGAGGATACTTGCTATTTCATTTGCACCTCTTTTTCCGTTAGTTTCATCCCAATAATAGCAGAAAACTCTACGAGTTCCATTCTCGTAAAAGCATAAATTATAGACCGCTATTTTTCTCGAATAATAGAATAACATTGATTCTCCATGAGGCGTATTCAAGACCTTTTCTAAGTCGAAACTTGCACATAGTGTGGAAGGATCATGTCTGTGTATAGATTTATGAGTCGAAAACCTATTAAAGCTTTCTTCTTTTTCAGTTTCATGATCTTCCTTTTCTTTGGCTTTTTTTGGATCATTAATATCTGCTTGTTGCAGTTGTAGGCACTTCAAGCACTTATCTTTTTTAGGGATATGAAACGCGATATTAAACTCTTCGGTAAATATTTTCCGAAAAATTCTTTCGCTTACTACATCTGTGCCAGCATTCACATAGCGTATTCTATAATTGCTGTATAAGCTGGAAACGTTTTTGTATTCCTGAGGTAAGTAAACTCGGTTGGAATCTTGACGACAGTAATGTGAAGGAACTGCTGGTAGACTTTTTATAAAATTAACAACAGTCTCTTTAGTAGAAGGCTTAGTTTTATTAGGCGGTATACACTTTCCACGCAAGTCGTCTCTAGAAGTTCCACAATTAGCATTTCTAACAGTGTAATATATACACTTTTGTGATATATCTAACGTTGCTGCCAAAAACTGTAAGCATACAACTCTTTTTCCTTCTCCTTCAGTAATACAATACCTAAATGTATTAGAACGCTTCTCTGAATCAACACGTTTACGTTTAACGGGTTCCCTATTAGTCATGCCAACCAACCAATCTCTACGCCTTTCAGAGGGAAGCGTCCAAAAATGATTGAATACTTGCTGTCTTTTTTCTTCAGTTACATTTTCACAGTTGTTTCCACATTTTTTACCCTTGCATGGATTGGGTTGAATTGTTTTTTCTTGCACAATTTTACCATCTGTTCTCGTGTACGTCTTTCCAGATTGTTTCAAGGCTGACCTTTCCTTTCTCGTGTTTTTCTTCTTTCTTTTCAAACCTCTTTCTCCTACATTTTCATCGTCAGCATTCATGTTTTCTTTTGTAATATTATCTTTCTCATCACTTTCATTTTTGCTCAACAGTTTTCGTTTATTTTTTTTATTTTTTTGTGGTTTCTTCTTTTTTGTCTGGCTTTGTTCTTCACTACTATCTGACACTTCTGATTCTGCCCATTCATCTGAATCAGTTACAGTAGAACCAAATACTGTGGAGAAATCTTCATCAGACATGTAGTCCACGTATCGGCTACTTGTTTTGGCTTTTCGTTTACGTCTACTACCACCTGGAATGGCACCAGCAATCCGAGGTAAGTTCTTTCTACGCGAGATTTTATCATGTTGCGGATCATCTGCGGCGGCATCATCTATCGAAGGTATGTATGGGGGGATAGTTTCGTCATACTGCGAGGGGTCAAGATCTATGATGGCATCATCTACCGACGGTAAGTATGGTGGGGTAGTTCCTTCATTTTGCGAGGGGTCAGGTTCAGGGACGACATCATCCGTCGAAGGTGAGTTTGTTGGGGCAGATTCGTTATTTTGAAAGGGGTCAAGATCTGTGGTGGCATCATCCATCGGTGGTGGGTTTGGTGGGGCAGTTTCTTCACTTTGCGAGTGCTCAAGGTCTGAGGTGGCATTATCTATCGTCGGCAAGTGTGGTGGGGCAGTTTCTTCATTCTGCGAGAGGGCAGGTTTTGCGGCGACATCATCTATCAACAGTAAGTATGTAGGGGTAGTTTCTTCATTCTGCGAGGGGCCAAGTTCTGCAGCGGCGACATCTATCGACGGTAAGTATGGTGGGGTAGTTTGCTCATTCTGCGAGGGGTCAGGATCTGGGGTAGTTTTATCCATCGAAAAGTTTAGTGGGTCAGATTCGTGCAAAGAGTCAGGATCTATGGCGACATCAGCTATTAAAGGTAAGTTTGGTGGAGCAATTTCTTTTTTCTGCAGTGGGTCGAAATAAATCGTCGAAAAACCTGCACCATCATAAGAATCAAACTCTGTGTGATCAAAAACTTCCTCAGGGTTATAGTTCTCTGCATCTTCGGTAATGCGTCGTGACGCTGTCGGTACAATTGAAGTGCAGTTGGATAGTATTTTATTCTGAAATAAATTAAAAATGTTCTATTATTTTATATCTAAAATTTAGGTAGGTACCTACATTGTTCAAAGTTTTATCCTGTCGCGCATGTATTCTTTTACACGATTTTCCAAAATATATAAATTTATAAAACCTCGATCACGTCGTTTGGTCATTTTGTATGGGATGTAGAGAAATATAAGGTCTGGAAATTGGAAGCCGTAGAATAGAAATTGATTAAGATGATGTCTAGATAAACGATTCTTGTATAATTAATTGATGTCAATACTTACACATACTTTTAATTTTGATTTATTATAACTGTTTTCCTTTGATTCCAATGCCCTAGATTTAACTAGATATTCAACTCTTTTACGGTTTTTCGAGTTTGCTTTTCTAGACGTTTTAGAGGCCTGAAACAGGGAAAAAGTTATTATTATTAATAGATAATTAAAGCACTAGAATATATTGCATGACATGCTACACAGAGCCATCTAACCTCAAACGTAACAGCTCGAGGCTTGTGTTATCGGATTTAAGGGTAAGAAATAGATTACATGTACTGAACTGATACATGTACTGAGAAGTACTAGCGGCCGCAATAATTTTAGTTTTTTGAGAATGGAGAATAGCCCACGGGAAGCTCTCATTTTTCCGAGATAAAATCTAGCCTATGTCTCAATCCAGGTAATATACTACATGTGTACTAAATTTCATCCAAATCCGATCAGTAGTATTTGCGTGAAAAAATAACAAACATCCATATTACAAACTTTGGCATTTATAATATTACTAGGAAGTAGGATATTTA